CTTGGGACATGCAGCTGCTTTGAAATGGCCCCAAGTGACTTTCCTGACTTGTCCAAATCAATAATTCGCTTTTTCAGATCTATGCTGAGCTCCATAGACTTTCCCATTGTAGCATTTGTGTCTAATGAGCCCTATTTAACTGGCCTCAGAGAAGTCAGCAGCTGTGGTTACTCATAATCACTCACAAGAAGTTAAGAGGCCATGCTATGAAGCTCAGTTCACTGACAACTTTCTAAGTCACCAAAATTGCTAATTCATATTGCTGTATATCTATCCACCTGACTTTGACCCTGTTAAAATATCATTTTAGAGTAAAAGAAGAAAAAATCCAGAGAAATCACCAAAAGAAGCCACCAAAACGTGTCCACTGAAGGGGAACAGAAATCCAGAGCTTAATAATGCAGAACCTGAAACAAGGATGGTTTTACACGATTTAAAGGAAAACTGGAGAATTGAGCAGAGAGGAACTGTCATATGATGACACACTGGTTTAAAAAAAACATAGTTCAGAACAGAGATGTTAAAAATGGGATTATCGTGGAGTGAATGAAACCACGGGGCGAGTTCTGTTACACTGTCAGAAATATGAGGCTGAAGGAGGGAAACTGACTGAAAACCTCACAGAGGTCAAAGAACGAGTTCAGTTTCTCCACACCAGCAGGTGGCGGTAAAGCACCTATTACTGTTTGACACTCGCCAGAAAACCGGAAGATGAGGGGAAAGGAGACGTCCGGCTGCATCGGCGAGGAGTTTCTCTCGGTTTCATCTGAAGGTAAGCACCGAGCTAACTTTAATCGGAGCTCAGTTAATCTTGGGTTTAGCTCCCGAGGAGGTCTTCTGCTGCTCTCCGCGGTGCTCCCGCTGTTGACTGCGGATGATGTCAAACTGATGTGTCGGAGGTCCCGACAAACCGGAAAATAAGGAAACCGGAAAACAAAACTCGGGGAACTTTCCATCTTTAAATGCAGGTTTCTTTATTCCACCCGACAGCCTGCAGGAGTGTCGTTCATGAGAAGGAAAAATTAGAGTTTTGAGTTTAACTGGTGACATTAAAGAAGCTGCCACTGCAGTATGGCTGTCCGCGCAGATGCCTGTTCAGAATCTGATTTGAGGCCCATCAGCGGGAACATGAGGGCTGAACAATTGAAATGCCACAAAAACAAAGCCCCGCTGTCCAGCTAGACTTATAACTGCTCCGGGCAGACCTGAGTTCTTTATACGGGACAGCAAAGCCCCTCGTCGGCCAAATGGTTTTAGTGGGACAACGGTCGGATGAAAGGATGGAGAAAAAATCCTCCTGGTTAAAAAATAATTATTTAACTGCTGAAAATAAACATCAGCGATGCATTCAGGGTTTCAGCACTTGGTAATAACACAGCACAGCTGCTTCTGCTGGTAAAAGAGCAGTGCGTCGTTGCATGTAAGGCTTTTTAAGCTGTTTATTGATGGCTAATAATAATTTTCATTAGTCTGAATGTATTGAACAGTGAAATTTCATGGGAAGGCGCAGGAACGCCGTGAATGACCACAAATGTAAACTTACTCTGAACACGTTCTTAAAAACTCTGAAAAGCTGTGACACGTTTTAATGTTAAAGAGGACAAGCCTGCTGCCATATGCATTTAGTACATACGTGTTATTCTGTGAGCATTCTTTGGATATATTACACGTATATGCAGCATGCCTGCAGTTCTCCAAATGTGTTGATCATGAAAACAAATGTAATGACCTATCAGATTAGCCGTAATCTGTGATTAATCCTCTGTGGTACCGTCTCACCTCATGTGTGCCTCCCTGACCTCACAGAGGGCGCGACGACACTATAAAAGAATAAACGTGGCGTGGAAGCATTTTTCACTCAGACTGATGTAGCTGACGCAGAGATGAAACAGGCAAACATTTATTTTTCTGTTTAGATCTGCAAAGTCAGCCATCTCCAATGTAGGCGAACTTAAACAGCTGTTTCTCTGCGTGTGTTTTACATAACGGATGTTACAAAAAATCAATCAATCAATCTTTATTTATAAAGCACTTTTCATACAGAACAAATGTAGCACAAAGTGCTTTAC